TGAGGATCGAGATTTCCGACGTAAACAGTGGCGTCTTGGTTCCTCTCGGCGGAGTGTTGGCCCAGAAGATTAGCTCCTACTCCCGGAGCTATTCGAGTCGTCATCTACTCCTCCTTGTTTTCCTTAAATCCGGTCGCCGGCGAAAGAAGTAAGCTTTCCGATTGAGAAATCTGAGGGGTTTTCAATCTCGTTTCAGTCTAACTCTCGGGGACTTCTGGAGATTTCTGAGCTCAGAACGGGAAGGAGAAGAAAGAAATGAGGCTTCTAATTGGTAGCGCTACAATGGGCTTTCATTATAGGCCCATTAATCTTTTTTAATTTGGTTAGGTCCACACATTAAACTCAACTAAACCGTTAAGTTATTTCAGTTTAGTTACTTGGAAATTGCGATTTGTAAACCGGTCTTAAGAAGATCCGAAATTGATCGCAGAAGCATTTGGTTAAAGGATTTAATCTAAGGGTCAATTTTGAGTCTTTTCTCATTGTGTGAATGTCTTAAGAGTAGTGTTCATGTGTTGCTAGTGAAACCATGCTTTACTAGTATGTTTCATTTTATTTCAAGTTACAAAGAAAGAGATTTGACTCCCTAAGAACATGTTAGTCAAGTTCTTATCTCAGGCATATACAATGTTGATTTATATATACACTATTTCTGTATTGTATCAGTAACTGTGAGTTTCCTTGCTTGCTGGAATCGTCTTTGTCCTGAAATAAAGCAAGAGTGCTACGATTATTATTTGCAGTGACTGATTTTGATATTGAATACTATATGAAAGATTTTTGTTATGTTCGATGATGATTTGGTATTTTGAACTTCCCTTGTGTGTGTACCAGGTATGCGTATAGTCTTGTTAGATTGATCATGTTATGCAATTGTTCCCAAAGCATTTATATAAAGCTGACAAACAAAACATAAGCTTATAGACTAAGCTAATAACAAATTTGAATTCATGGAGGTTTCTTAGAGTCTAAAGGTGCAGTGAGAAAAAACTCTTGTGACTTACTTGCTATGGAAGAAAGTTCTCACAAATGGTTGATTTCGTCCAAGGCTGAAAAGATGATTTATCAACCTTGGTGTTGTGGTGGCGGAGGCATAGACATGTGATGATGATGTTGCATAGGTGGTTGTTGTGGTGGTCCACCTTCATGCATGTGTTGTGGCGGCCACGCGTGTTGGTGCATTCCCATGGCTTGCGGTGGTGGACCACCGAAACCTTGTTGGTGATGATAAAACTGCGGAGGTGGTGGCGGCTGCATTCCCTGAGGAGGACGGAATTGTTGCTGTGGCTGAGACGGCCAAGATTGTGGCTGAATTGGATAAGCTTGTGGAGGTGGTGGTGGCGTTGGACGGAGAGGTGGTTGCATGCCACCATTAGCAAACGGACGTGGAATACCATTAGCTTGAGGAGCGTTAGGATGCGATGGAGGGCCTTTTGCAAATAACGTATGAGGCCTGCTTTTCTGGGAACTTGGATTTGCGGCAGCCAAAAGCCTCTCTGCATTCACAAAAAAAGTAAATAATGTGTTGATGTTGTTGTTAGTTCCACTAATAAGAGAGAAAGTTTCATAACAATTTGCTCTGGAGAAAGAGTGTAAAGAGCCTAACCAGTTGGAGTACCATGACGCTCTCCTTTGGTGTCTTTCTTGTACGCGTAAGAGACTGTTATCTGACGATTACAGAGATACTGTCCGGTCATTGCCTGCAAGATTCAGAGGAATACACATTCATTAGAGAAAGTTTATAGGAAATGATGTTCTTGAAAGAACAAGAAACAGGGAATTACCTCAATAGCAGCATCAGATGCTTCAAAGGAGTCATAGCTGATGAAACCGAAACCTCGTGAGTTTCCGGTTTCAGGATCTCGCATTATCTGCAACGAAAAAAGTTTAGAGAAATCAGATTCCAGTGCATACAGATTACCAACTTACATTACAGCTACCAAGAACCACAGAATGAAAATAAATATTATACCTTAGGATTAGAAACAATCACACCAAATGCACTGAAAGTATCATGTAACATCTTTTCATCCACATCCTGTAAAAAAACAAAGCAAACTGGTCAGCTATTGTTCGAACTGAAGTACCAATTTTCAAAGTATTACACCACCAAGGTCAAGATACTTACAGGATCAAGGTTTCCAATGAAAAGATTAGCACCAACATCCAAGCTCTTCTTATCTTGTGACGCCTAATACAATTATTCAACCAAGAAAACAAAAACGTTATAGCAACTTCTTGGAGAGGATGCAAATAAATATGAAAGTAACAGAAACTGGTTTAATACCTTTTTCACTGTTATATTATCGCCGCCGAGCTTAATCATATTAAGAACCTTCATCGCCTGCAAAACAACACAACCAAAAATATGTTACCAAATATGCCAAAAAAAAGAAGTCTAAAACTCTTCAAAGAAGAGATGTAAATTGGGGAAAGAGAGAAACACTTTACATAGTCAGCATCTTCCTCACTGCGAAACTCAACGAATCCAAATCTTTGACGATGATTTGTCACTCTATCTTTCGGGACATGTACGTTAACTGATGAAATCCAAAACAAACAAAAAATATCAGAATTTTGTTATGGAAGAATCTATTGATACGAACTTTATATAGAAAGTAAGATTTTAACTTACCAACGGGACCGGCTTGTGTGAAAAATTCCCAAAGCAATTCTTCAGAAATCTGTAATTCAAAGAGGGAAAATCGATCAATTGTTCACTAAATATTCAGCTAAATCAGAGAAATTGAGAAGGAGAGAAATTAGATAAGAACCTGTAGATCGATATTTCCGACGTAAACAGTAGCGTCTTGGTTTCTCTCGGCGGCGTGTTGGCCGAGAAGATTAGATCCTACTCCAGGAGCGATTCGAGTCGTCATCTACTTCTCCTTCTTTTCCTTTACTCCGATCGTCGGAAAAAAAAATGGCTCGCAATTGAGAAATCTAGAAATTCCAATTTAGACGACAAGGCTTATATAGCGGTGCCGCAACTAATGGGCCTTTTTGCTTATAAGGCCCATTACGCCCTTGTCAGGAAAAGGATGTTTCACTTTTTCAAGTGCAAGAACATCTAAATCGCAATTCGTAAACAATTATTTGAAAATCTTTGTGTTGAACATAAGAGGTACATAGACTGAAAGATAGGCTAGAGACAAATCTTGCTACCTCTATGAAACTATAAACTGTTCTCATTCTTCTTCATGGAAATTCTAATGATTCAAAAACCACTAGAATTTGTAGCTTGTACAGCTAATTGCATCCTGGATCACAGTTTCAACAAGTCCAAATAAAGCTCAAGCAAGCACAAGCAAAAACCAAACCTTCTTGAGCCTTATGCATCACCCTCACTTTCTTGATCCAACACTTCTCTTGTTTGAGAAGAAGATGAAGTCTTGGCCTTTGTATACAATCCAAGACTCTCCTCTAGCTTCTTCCACTCGGTTACCAACCGCGGAGGGAATTTCTTCTTCACAGTCCTAGCCACTCCTCTCGCATCTTCCATTCTGTTATTCTTCACCAACCCTTCAGTCAAATGCTTACAGGTTTTGAAATCCGGAATCTTGTGCACCAACGCGCTCTTCTTGAACACAACCAAGCCTTGCTCATACATCCCGTTTATACACAGATGAAATATCAACGTCCTAAACGTCGCTGCGTTTGCCTGATCAAGCCCTTTGTATACCTTCTTGGCTTCATTCATCATCCCTTTCACGCAGTAAGCAGTCATAAGATAGTTATAGCTCACTGTATCAGGTTGCAATCCAACACTGCTCATTTCTTCCATTAACTCCTTAACTCTCTCGGGACTCTCCTTCGCAGCATTCATGAGCTTAACGTTGTAAACAGTGTTATCCAATTCGCAGCCTTTGTTCACCATCTCTGTCCACAAGCTTTCCGCTGCATCGATTTGCCCATTCTTATACAAAGATCCTAAAATGGTGGTGAAAGCAATGATGGTAACTTCAACGCCTTTAGCTTCCATGTCTCTCATCGTCTCCATGGCTTTTTCCGGCGAGCCAGAGTCGCAGTACGACTTGATCAACATGCCGTAAGAGATTTTATCAGGGGTGATGTTTTGATACCTCTGAGGAATTTCGTCAAACAGTTGGGGGACTCTTTCGAAGAGATCGGAGTGAAGGGAAGCGGCGAGTAAGGCGTTGAAGGAGACGACGGATCTGGGCGTCCCGAGCTGGTCCATCTCCTCGAACGTCTTCATGGCGTGATCAAACATGGAGGCTCTTCCGTAAGATCTGATAAGTGTAGAGAGGAAATGCTCTGTTTTGATCTTTGGGTCGGTTTTGTGAGACTCGATTAAGGATTCGATGTCGGAGAAGCGTTGAGATTTCGCGAGGCGTCGTACGGTGAGCTCCATTGCGTAACGAGAGGATTGAGGAGAGGAGGCATTAGTATTGGAGAAGGAGTTGTAAATCGCCAAGGCTTTGTCGGGGTCGTGGACTTTACGTAGTTTGGATTTAGCTTTGGAGACAGTGATTGCGGCGGGAGACGCAGTGGTTGTTGCTGCAGCTGACGAATCTGCGGCGGCGGCGGCGGTGGAGAAACGGCAAAGGAGGCGGAGATAGAGACGAGACGGCGTCGTCATTGCAAGCGACTTGCTAACGGGAACGGAGAGGAAGGAGCGTAAATGAAATGCCTTTAGGGTTTAAGACTTTTGACAGAAATGGGGTTTTAGGAGTTTTTTTGCTACGCTACGCAAAATGGTTTTACAAAATTTTAAACTTTCAAAGGAAACTCAGTAGCACTGTATAAAAATCAGGCTTTTAACTAATCATGGAGAATTTTATTCTTGGAGCTACTAAAGATCTTAATTTTGTAGAACAAGTATAAAAATCAAATATATTTCTTGTCAAAATATGTCTCGATAGGTCTTAATTTTGGTAAACTTTGTGTTTGATACAACAGAAACAAGCAAAATGGTTTTGGAACAAAAACGAGAGAAAGAAGAGAAGTAAAACCAAAGTTTTAGAAGAAATAAAAAAGCCCTAGAGAGAATAATCGCCTTGTTCAAACTTATCTTCAGGGTAAAACACAGCCACCACTTCGTTCCCTCCGAATTTCCTACCATTCATTCCGGTCCTCGCCCTGGTCGAGCTCTCTGTTTCCGCATACTCAAGAAACACCTGCACAAAGATCAAAAACAAAGCCTTCATTGATTTAGCCACAGAGAGACTCCACTTGCATAGAACAGATAATGTTAAATGATTTTGAACGAACCTTGCCAACGCCCTGAACAGGCTCACCGTCGGGGCTGGGGCGAGGAATCACGACTTTAGTTAACGCACCTGCATTTTAAGAGCAAACAAATTCGAATCCAAGAGCCAAGAAAACATAACATAAAACAAGAATTCTTCTAAGAAGGATTTGGGGCTTGGATGATATAAGATAAAGGAAGTTTATGCAGTCTCCAGTTATGCCCTGATTTCTTTATAGCAGAACAAAAAGCTGTAAAACAGACATATACAACCAACAAAAAACAGAGACACGGATCAATATTCTCTCAATCTCATCTCAAACGTTGATAGATAGACGAACCAATGCAAAATAACCAAATACCAAAGTGAACTTATTAGCCTTAGCAATGGAGTTTTCTTACCAAACTTTCCGCCTTCTTCTCTCATGTCTACAATGATGTCTTCGTAATCCTCATCACTTCTAAGCTCGTCCTCGGTAACTACTTGGGTCAGGCACACGACTTTGGTGGCCGCTGTTCCTTGTTGCAGCATAATCCTCTGTGAAAGAGAGAAAAAAAAGAAACCAGTGTTATTAACCTATCTTATTGCTTAGACAGAATCTTATGTGAATTCTTTATTTTACCTGTAAAGCAACCTGTTGCTGTGCGTGCAGCAATACACTCTCCTGTTCGGGTTTCTGCAGAGTTGTTCCTACGCTAGCTCGTCTCACTGTAAGAGTTTTGTCTCCCATTATAATTCCGTTGAGGGCAGCGCAAGCAATGTCTGTAACAGCAGGATCTTGATACGCGCAGAAAGCGTATCCTTTCGAGTTTCCAGTTTCTCTGTCTTTCACAAGATCAAAACCCTTCAGAGCTCCCAAAGACTCCAACAGTTCTTTGATTTGTGCCTCAGGGATATAGTAAGGAAGTCCACCAACAAAAATACGCTCAGGACCCTCAAGCGCACCAGAAGCCCCTGGAGTCAGCCCAACAGCAGCCAAGTTTAGATTGGGAATTGGATGGCTTGGACCAAGTGTTGCAGCTAGTGATGGGTTGTAGTCACTTGGTCTCCTCACCTTCACTGGAGCTCCCTGGGAAAAGAGGAAAATTATGGTTTGTTTAATCTCTAAGTTATTCAAGATCTAGAACACATCTACGAGTCAGATAAACCAAAAGAGCTATACCTCAAATATAATTCCATCCAACGACATAGCATTACTCGCTTCTTCAACTGTTCGCATCTCCACAAATGCAAACTTCTTCTCGTAATTGATGTACACATTGACAACAGCATCACCTGCACAAACATATCAAAAAAGATTGTAACCCGTTTTTTCAACACGAAACTCTACCAAATTTGTACACCAGAATGTAATACCTGGACCAGCAGTGTTTCCGCCAACAGCGGCCATAACCTGACTGAAAAATGTTGCAACAGTCTGCAACATAGGAATATAAATCTGAGTATCAAATGCAGGACAAGATCACAAGAGACCACAATGTGTGTAGTGAACATTAACCAAACCTGTTCATTTGCTAAGGGAGAAAGGCCACCAACGTAGACCCTCCGAGCATGTCTAGTAGCCTGAAGATACATTAAACGAATGCATGTTAGGACAGACAAAACTCATAGTATCTTTCTTATATCCATGAGATATATAACCAACCTGCTGTGTCATTGCCTGAAATGGCATCATAGGGAGTCCACCGAATGGCTGCATGACAAAGAAGAAGAGTGATCAACTTGTAAGGGACATATAACTCTCACAACTTGCATCGTTGGTTGGGAAGATTGGCGACATACCTGTCCAGGTGGTACGGGAAACATGTTGGGAAACATTCCAGTC